AAATAATTGTGAGGTTGCACACTGTCATCCTGCAGGGTAGAAATGTTCTTAAAATTCTCCTTCTGGCTCCCATTCCCCTCTGGAAGGACAAGAGACTGTTTTCTCAATGCCAGGACGTTGAGTCAAGATGACAAGATTGGAAGTGCTGTTGACAGAGTCCAGACCATTGCTTTACGGCGAGAGGGATGACATTTTATTATGTACTCACAAAACCCCATCCAAGTGCGGCTGAGTGTCCTCTCATGAGGGGCCAAGAGGAAGATCACTGTGTGTCTTTCCCGGGGCCGAGGAGAAGGGGTATCCTTCCTCAGCACCAGCAGTTAACACGAGAGGATCACTCAAAAGAGAGTCCATTTCTCTGGAAACTTCTCTCAGCTGGCTGTTGTGGAGAAGCTACAGATTTCCCACAGGAAGTATCTCGGTGTTCTCAAGCATTTGCAAAGCTCTTATTGCAAATTTGCTCAAATTGCATGTTTGCTGTACTGGGGATGTCTTAAGGGGACCTTAAAGGAAAGACACCATTGTTATTCCAGCCTGACTGTAGTGTGAGCATGACAGCCCTTAGAGGGAGGACCATTTCCGTAAACCTCAGTTTCCCCTTCTGTACAGCCAAGACCCCTGGGGTCTTTTGGCTTGTAGTCTGAAAGTCTGTGAACCGAGGAGGCTTCAACCATGGTGACACTGTGATTAACAGCGAAGATGTAGGAACTAAAATTAAGTCACACAAACAGGATACACACCTCTTCTAGAACTTTCTGACTTTGTGTTGTTATTATTTCCTTGCCCTGACTGCCCTGAATTAATTCCTTCCCCTGAAGGCTCCTTTTAACCACCTGAGATTCCACTTGATTCTACAGGTGTTGATGGATTGCTCACTGTATTTCCCACCACGGGGCTTCAGAGCACCACTTTGTGGGACTCGCAAAGAAACGGTGAAATCAGAACTTCCCAGAGTTGATCCATTGCTTGGATTAGCCTTTCCCAGACCAGGATCTCTTGACCAGTGACATCAATATCACCATTCAACTTGTTAGGAAGGCGAGTTTTCAGATGCCTCCCCAAACTCACTGAGTCAGCAGCTCTCAGGATGCGACTTGCTGGCCTCAGCTTTTAAGATATCCTGCAGGGAATTGGGGTGCATGGTCAAGCTTGAGAACCACTGAACTAGCCTTCTAGGGGCACACTGAATCCACAAGGGTAGATTGCTAGAACATGAATTCAGCTCAGAGCTACAGTGAACTCTCTTGGAATCTCTAGCCACAGTTTGGACCATTGTGGGACTTTTGTCAAATGTCCCAAGCACTGTGGAAACTACCCATTTTCTTTGATGGGAACCACTCGAGTTTAGTATACAATTCCACAAGGACCTTTCAGGATTTCCTTCAAATAGTGATGCTCGGTGGGTTGTTGATGCTATGAGTAAGACTCACAGAAAAATCTCAGATTGAGCAAAAACCCTTGCTACCAATGTCTCTGGGAGAAGAGAGCTTTTGGGATTTCTCCTCCCTTTGACTCTCTATGGTGAGGTCTAAGCCCGATTCACCGATCTCCTCAGCAGGTGGAGACCCTGGGACCGTTATCCCATAAATGAGTCCAGACTTACTTAGAACGGGTAAACAAGTATGGCTTCTGGAGGGGGACTGTCCTGAGCCATCCTGACAGCATCTAGCTCCAGCCTAGGGCCACATGCTAGATCATGGGGCCCCTCAAGAAGATGAGGAGCATAGGTGCTTCCTAGGCAGATAGCCTTTGGGGCTCAGGTCATACCTGGTGTTTAGTTCCTTCCCCTCCCTTGGGTGTGTGTTCAGGTACCTATATTTAGTACCAGCTGAGCAACTATAAGCACTAGCCCTGCTCCTGCCCAGCCTTGAGCTCAGTGCAAGGCTAAGGAAGGAGGGGGAGCAGTGGAATCTGCAATGTTTGCATTACAGCGCTCACCTGCTGGCTCCTTGTTCACAGTTGCTCTGAGAGGTGGGTATTTGTGTCCCTTCTGTGTCTTCTCTTTTTCTGAGTTATAAAAGGCTCGCAGACTCTTTAGCACCTCTGTTTGCTCATCTTTGCAATGGGTACAGTTCTAGCAACTCTTCTCCGTGGCTTGTTCTGAGAGTGCAATTCGGTTGCTGTGGAAATCACTCTGAAAAACAGCTTAGACCATCTTGCAGATGTCAGGTTTCTGTTGCTCTTGTTTCTGGGTTCGAAAGGCAGTTTGTGGAGCCTCTGTTTAGGGAAGCTCACCTTATCTGCCCCTGGCTCCCAGTCTCGGGGTTCAGATGTTATATGGGAATGTGTTGTATGTGGCTTCCTGCCAGACTACTGGTGTTGGGGCCACCCCCTCTTCGAAGACTGTTGGACTCAAATGGCTGCAACGAGGAGATGTGTATGCCAGTTCTGCGTGACAAGTCACCACCTGGCGAGTTAGCCTGGACAGGACGACTTCACAGGCCTTCCCACTTCCCGTTTTTATGACTGGCTTCGCTGTCTCGTTTTTTTGGCTTTCTCTCTCATTCTTGCAGCTGTGGTGGTTGGGATTTAGGGCAAGTACTTGGGATCTTTTCTCTAATCCCCTTCAAATCCTGTTTGAGCTGCAAAGTCCGGGAAGGGCATAGAGAAGGGGGGAGGGGAGGATTATCCGGCCTAAAGGCAGTGTATCAATCAGTATATTTCCTTCTGAGCTAAGGAAACAGCTGTAGCTGTGACTTTATAAAGTGGCTGAGGGGGCTGGAGAGATGGCTCAGAGGTTGAGAGCATTGCCTGCTCTTCCAAAGGTCCTGAGTTCGATTCCCAGCAACCACATGGTGGCTCACAACCATCTGTAATGGGGTCTGGTGCCCTCTTCTGGCCTGCAGGCATACACACAAACAGAATATTGTATACATAATAAATAAATATTTAAAAAAAAATAAAGTGGCTGAGGGGATGGCTCCATTGGTGGAAGACATGCTGCGAATGCATGAAAACCCGTTTGGGTTCTCAGCACCCACATACGAAGCTGGGTATGGCTACACATGTCTGCAACCCCAGTGGATCCCTGGAGTTGGCTGGCCAATGGATAAGCAGTCTGTTCTGTTGGTTCAGTGAGACACCTGCTTCAAAGTAAGGTGGAAAGCAATAGAAAAGGGCCTGCCTCTGGCCTCCACGTTCACACACACACACACACACACACACACACACACACACACACTCAAACCCAAACCCAAACCCATGCACACATGTAAAATAAAAATACAGTGGGTTATTTTGACTCAAAGTACAGTGAGTCAAAAAATGACATTTTTGCTGTTAATACGCAAGGAGACATTGAGATAAGGAAGTGTATATGTAGATTGTGCCTTTGGCTCTCTTAAAAAGTTGCCAGAGCCCAGTCACCGAGGCTCTGTGCAAGGACACACTCAATCCTAGTTCCTAGCACAGGTCTACCCTCTGGACACCATAGCTACACCAAGCTTCTCTTCTCCTCATGCTTCACAACGGGGGTTAAGTCTGGACATGTGAGCCTTTGGGGACAAACAGTATCCAAACAGTAATGGATTGTCACTTATGTCTCTCAGAAATTCCAACAGTGGTGTGGGTTATGCACCTGGAATCTCTGGCAGACTTTCCATGCTGAGGATTTAACCCAGGGGCTCGTGCATGCTAGGTGCATGCTCTCCCATCACGCTGCATCCCCTAACCCTGTCATGCTATCTGTGACCCCCCCCCCAATTTCTGAGACTCAGTTGAAAGGTCTTTTAGAGCTGGCTTCAGAACATTCTCACATAATCCAAACCAGTCGTTCCTAGTATCCCCTGTGTTCTAAAGATGCTTATTCTGTTATCCACCATTCCTCCTGGCTAAAGCTTTGCTCATGAGCCCTTGTCCATGTGTTCTTTCAAGCCAGACATTCTATATTCACAAGGGGGGCATCTCATGCCTCATCTGTTTAAAGCCCTTGTATGTCAGTTCTCTCTCTCTCTCTCTCTCTCTCTCTCTCTCTCTAATTCTCTTTGGGGGAAAAAAAAAGATGTGTTTATTTTTTATTTTATGTGTGTTTACTGCATGTATGCCTGTGCATCATGTGCATACACTGGCCCTTGGAGGCCTGAAGAGTGTCTCAGATCCCCTTGGAATTAGAATTACAAACAGTTCTCAGCCAATGTGTGGGTGCTGGGAATTAAACCCAGGTCTTGTACAAGAACAACCAGAATTCTTCATTGCTGAGCCATCTCTCCAGACCTACTGCTGATCTTTCTCTTAGTCTGTTGTTAGAGCTCAGTTTAACATGTCTTACTGCCTCCTTAGCTCCATCTTCCAGAACAGACGGCCAGCCATTTGATACTGGATCCTCTCAAGCATTTCCCAGTCTTTGCAGTGCTGTCAAACTTACGAACTGTGCCACAGATAGTAAAATAATTTTGACTCTGATAAAGGGTTTGACTGAAACTGCATTGTTGACTTTGTAGACTTACCTTGCAAAAAGAAATTCTGTTTGTAACTAAGGGTCATGATCATATAGTATGTACAGATTTGCCTGAGAACTTTCCTGGTAAGAATAAAGCTAAATTTTGGGGGTTCCAAAAGTGACCCTGAGTCCCAGGACTTTCCATAAGAACCAATCTGCATCGGGTCTATTTCTGGCAAGCTTGGCACAAATTTACACACACCTGGGGAGAGAGAAACTCAATTGAGGGATGTGTCTCCATCAGATTGGTCTGTGGGTGTGTCTGTGGGGACTTTTTTACTTTTTTTTTTTTTTTTTTTTTTTTAATGCTGACGTAGTGGGAGGGCCCAGCCAACTTTGGGCAGTTCCCAAGTTGAATAAGAAAAGTAGCTAAGAAAGCCAGGGGATGCAAGCCAATGGGTAGCGTTTCTCCACGGTCTCTGCCTTGGCTTTCCTTGACGTTGACCTATAACCCGTAAGCCAAATATCCCCATGTTACTTTCGTGCCAGCGTTTTATTAGACACAGAAAAGGAAATCCGAACACTTCCCCTCTGATGCTTGCGACCTCTGCTCTTTCCCCAGAGAGCTCCTGTGAGAATAAGCGGGCGGATCTGGTGTTCATCATTGACAGCTCCCGAAGTGTCAACGCCCACGACTACTCAAAGGTCAAGGAGTTCATTCTGGATATCCTCCAGTTCCTGGATATCGGTCCTGATGTCACCCGAGTAGGCCTGCTCCAGTACGGCAGCACAGTCAAGAACGAGTTCTCCCTGAAGACCTTCAAGAGGAAGTCTGAGGTGGAGAGAGCTGTCAGGAGGATGAGGCATCTGTCCACAGGCACCATGACAGGACTGGCCATCCAGTATGCCCTCAACATTGCCTTCTCAGAAGCAGAGGGGGCCCGGCCTTTGCGGGAGAATGTGCCCCGGGTCATGATGATTGTGACTGATGGGAGGCCTCAGGACTCGGTGGCTGAGGTGGCTGCAAAGGCCCGGGACACAGGCATCCTGATCTTTGCCATTGGCGTGGGTCAGGTGGATCTGAACACACTGAAGGCCATCGGGAGTGAACCCCACAAGGACCACGTCTTCTTGGTGGCCAATTTCAGCCAGATCGAATCTTTGACCTCTGTGTTCCAGAACAAGTTGTGCAGTAAGTTCAGTGCCTCTGTGGCTTGTTTTTTCTTTAATGCCTCATTCTGTGCTCCTGGCCATGGGCAACGAGAAATGCATCATTCTTTGATGGGTTACACTTTGGCCAAAGGGACAGATGTTAAGCATATAATTATACAAATACAAAAGTAGCCTCAATTGTTAACAGTGTAATGGAAGAAGAATTCAGGGCATGGTGGGACAGAAGACCCAGGGCCTAATCTAGACCATGGTGTTTATAAAGGCTTACGTAGAGGAAAGGGTGTGTGTGTGTGTGTGTGTGTGTGTGTGTGTGTGTGTGCTTGTCTGTGTAGGTGCATCCACAGGTATGGAAGTTGGAGGACTATTTACAGGAGTTGGTTCTCTCTACCTGATGGGTACCAGGATTTAAATTCAGGCGTGGTGGCAGGTCCCTTTACTTGACAGCCCCAAAGGACATTTAAACTCAAAAGGCAGAATGAGTAAGGCTAGCATGAAGGTTTCCCCACACACGTTGAGCTGACACATTGGCATTCCCGAAACTGAAACTTGTGAGCTGGAGTAGGGATAGGAACAGAAGGCAGAGATCAGAAGAGCATCCCCATGGGTTGTCTGGGAGACCAAGACATCTTTGCTGCACGTTGGTGTGAGCAGTGGGTGATTTGTTAACTGAGCATGATAGTGTGAGCAGTGGATGGTCTGTTAACAGACATGATGGTGTGAGCGGTGGATGATCTGTTAACAGAACATGATGGTGTGAGCAGTGGATGTCCTGTTAACAGAACATGATGGTGTGAGCAGTGGATGGTCTGTTAACAGAACGTGATGGTGTGAGCAGTGGATGGTCTGTTAACAGACATGATGGTGTGAGCGGTGGATGATCTGTTAACAGAACATGATGGTGTGAGCGGTGGATGATCTGTTAACAGAACGTGATGGTGTGAGCGGTGGATGATCTGTTAACAGAACGTGATGGTGTGAGCAGTGGATGATCTGTTAACAGAACGTGATGGTGTGAGCGGTGGATGATCTGTTAACAGAACGTGATGGTGTGAGCAGTGGATGATCTGTTAACAGAACGTGATGGTGTGAGCAGTGGATGGTCTGTTAACAGAACATGATGGTGTGAGCAGTGGATGTCCTGTTAACAGAACATGATGGTGTGAGTGGTGGATGATCTGTTAACAGAACGTGATGGTGTGAGCAGTGGATGTCCTGTTAACAGACATGATGGTGTGAGCAGTGGATGTCCTGTTAACAGACATGATGGTGTGAGCAGTGGATGTCCTGTTAACTGAGCGTTTTGGTGTGAGCAGTGGATGATCTGTTAACAGCATGATGGTGTGAGCAGTGGATGGTCTGTTAACAGAACGTGATAGTGTGAGCAGTGGATGATCTGTTAACAGAACGTGATGGTGTGAGCAGTGGATGTCCTGTTAACAGACATGATGGTGTGAGCAGTGGATGTCCTGTTAACAGACATGATGGTGTGAGCAGTGGATGTCCTGTTAACTGAGCGTTTTGGTGTGAGCAGTGGATGATCTGTTAACAGCATGATGGTGTGAGCAGTGGATGTCCTGTTAACTGAGCGTGATGGTGTGAGCAGTGGATGGTCTGTTAACAGCATCATGATGTGAGCGGTGTGAGTGGTGGGTTTTCCGTTGACTGATAAGAGACAGTGCATAGGAAGGATTGAGTTGTGGGCTTTGAAGACTGAACCTTGGATTGGGACAGACTGCACACCTTTGTGATATGGTACTTAGAGAAAAGGAAACAAGATGTACTTAAAAACATTTTTAAAAATTCTTTTGACACAAAGTCTCCATAAACCAGACTGGTTTCAAACTCTCTGTGTAGGAAAGAATAATCTTAAATTTTTTTTCTCTTGTTTCACCTCACACATGTCAGGATTACAAGTATGTGCCAGCACCATGCCTGGTTTATGTGGGGGCTGAGAATGAAGCCCAGATCTCTGTGCATGCTGGGCAGGGACTCTCCCAACAGAGCTATACTCCCAGCCCCGGGGTGTACTCTTGATGCATCTTTAAAAAAAATAAAATCCCCTTGCAAGAACTAACTTCAAAAGGCAAGGACTCCATTTTCTCTTGACTCCAGAGTCAAATGATTTACTTAAGAAATCAATGCCACAAAGGAAAAATAACCTTTTTTTGAGCAATGTCATTTGGAAACAGTTCAGAAGTGCCATTTCCCTGGCGCCACAGCGAGGCTGCATTATCGCAGTGCACCGTGGCCTGCATCAACTGGAACGCGCTGCAAACATTTTAAAGGTTTTATGACTTTAAATGACTTCAGCAGAATTTACGCTCCCCCTTTCCTGGAAATATTAAAAAAAGAAATTGGTTCTCTAACACTCTTGACAGCTTCTTCATGTGTACTGGACGACTTTAATGGAGGGAGCTTTTTATAAGCATTCTGCATCCATCAGCAGATGGAAAGATGATAAGACAGGAGCTGCGCAATAAAACGACCCCCATGGGACTGAATGTGGGCTTGGGCTCAGAGAGCCTTTCTCTGTGGGCTTTGAGGCAATTCAGCAAGATTAAAAGGCTGTGTGGACACCCTCTGCCCCATCATCTTTGTTTAATCTGGAAGCTTTAAGAAAACGCTGGTATTATCTCATTCCTTTGTGTGGCCTGAGAAATGAACCCCCTGGGACTCCTCACATCCACTTTGCTGGAACGCAGCTGAGCTCCAGGCCCTGTACTGCAGGCTCCGCTGAGCGGCTTCATCAACTATCTTGAAAGGCTGAGGAGGCCCCAGAGCCTCTTTGTCAACCACATGCTAAAGACCACAGTAACTAGCTTTCCTTAAGCACTTCTCCCTCTTGCTTTCTCATTTGATGCTCGTGAAAACCAGGGGGGTGAGTCGGACAGCACCGCCCTCCCTTCTTCCAGGTTAGCAAGTTTGCTGACTTCCAGGTTCCTGCTCGGTTCACTCCTTCACAAGCTGGGAGTTTATAAATCCCGCTCAGGGTTAACCGTTTGCTGAGAACAACCCCCACAGGGATAGCGGCTCTGCTCATGGCCCTCACCTGATGAGGGTAAAACTGGGAAGGGATTCCTATGTAGGACAGGACTGGCTGTGTGATGCTCATCTGGAAGGCGGGGATTTCACAGGCAGGTGGATGTGAGCTCCCAGTCCACATGCACACACTGTTAACAGTCTGACTGTTAACAATCTGAGACACTCGGGATCCACACGTGGGTGACAGGCATCTCTGCTGGACTCAGTCTGGCAGTTAGACAACAGCCATGAGCATCTTCTGAGCTGCAGATGACATCTCCAGGTTCTGGAAGTCTCCTTTGCTCCTGAAACATCAAATGACACCCTGATGATCATAGCTTCTCACATCCTGTTCTGTATTGTTCCATTTAAGCTGTTCTCCCAGATAGGTCTTCTTGTTACGTCTATTTGCAAAAGTGGAAAGTGAGGCCTAGAAAAAATAAGCAATTCTAATAGCAGCTCCAGAAATACAGAACCTAAGTGCTCACTCTCGTTGCATGAGCCCCAGAATTAGTGAGAAAATACTCTCATATCTACACTCCCTTATAGGACAACGGGAGAGGAGACACACAGCATGCACTTCATAGCCCTAGGAAAGCCATCTGGACCAAGACACTTATCCCAAAGAGCACCTGGCTCCGCCTCGGGAATCCTGGAAAACATTTAAAATGAATCAATAAGATTGATCGCTAACATTTATTGTTATCTATGTGTGCATGTGACTAGAAACGGCAAACTCTTGTAATCCGTGCATTCGAGGGTGAGGGGGTAAGGAGACTGGGGGGTGGGGGGTAAGACCTAGGCATGGTCGTCTGGTGCCATGAGTTCCATCCCCACAACTCACACTCACAAAGAAAGCTGGATGCAGCAGTGAGATGAGGGGCAGAGGCTGGAGAACCCACAAGAAGCTCCTGGGCCAGCTAGCCTAGAACACAGTAGCACAGGAGGGACAAGCATGCTGGTGTGTGTGTGTGTGTGTGTGTGTGTGTGTGTGTGTGTGTGTAAGAGAAGAGAGAAAGAACAGAGACACAGAGAGTATGAGTGAGTACTCTCACACACAAGCAAAATAAAAAGATAAGTAATGTTTTTAAAGACACTGGAATAAGGGGCTGGAGAGATGGCTCAGAGGTTAAGAGCATTGCCTGCTCTTCCTAAAGGTCCTGAGTTCAATTCCCAGCAACCACATGATGGCTCACAACCATCTGTAATGGAGTCTGGTGCCGTCTTCTGGCCTGTAGGCATATACACAGACAGAATATTGTATACATAATAAATAAATAAATATTTAAAAAACCCACAAAAGATAAAAACAAATATTTAAAAAAAAAAAGACACTGGAATAAGAGGATCTAGAGTTTGAAGTTAGCCCAGGATATATATAACCAGGCCAACCTGAGCTACAAACAGGAAGCTGTCTCAAAGGTGTGCATGTGCGTGCCTGACTCTGTGTACACGCTTTTTTGAGCTCTTAGCCTACGTAAAACCATTTTATCCACACAACAAACATGAGAAGTAAGTATTTTTATGAAGTCAAAGACCTAACCGCCTTGCCCAGGGTCACTCAGCTCTTGGTGGAGGATGACGGGGAGTCGGGTGTCCTGGCTCCAAAGCTACAGTTAAACAAACCACACTGTGCTGCTCAGACTCAGGGAAGCAGTTCTGTGGGCAGGGCTGTGTAGGGAGGGTGAGCACCGTGCTCCAGGCAAAGAATGATGTTATTTTAAGTCTTGTTTTATTTTTTTAAAAAATACAAAAGCCAGTCCTGGTTCTTTAGCTGATTTCACTGCCCCACTAAGGGGCTATGACTCACAGTTGGGAAGAGGTAATGAAGGGCCAGGCTTGAGGAACGGCAGCTACTGTGTGCGCAGGAGGGAACAGACTATGGGAGGGAGTGCTAATGGTACCTTCCAGCTGGCAACGACAAAAACAAACTCTGCCCAGATGTACCTAGGGCAGGGGTCTCATGCAGTGGTATCGCTCAGGCTCTGAAGCCAGACT